ATACACTTCTTAAATAAGGCTTATGAAGAACCCCGGCAGCTCTGAAAAAGCCAAACGCTGTTTGGATGCTGCCTGTGGCAGGGACGGGGAGGGGCGGGGCACCACTTCTGAGTGGAGCATCTTCAACGCCATGGGATTTTTGTCTTTGGGGAGTTCTTTCTCCATTTTTGGGGAACACGTTAAGCCTAAATCTGCCACCTTAAAACTTCAGTCCACTTGATCTAATTTTTTGTCTTCTTGGGGCTGCCAACGACCCACTCCCACCTGGAAACCCTTCTCTCTGCTACCTCTTGACCATATGAACACCTGGGGCCCGGCAGCCCTGTCTCTACTCAGAGCAAAACAGCGATTCCTCGTCCCCAAAGTCAGTGCTCAATTTGGTTAACTTTTTAAAAGGGGGGTGTGTAGCAGTGGACGCACCCCTCCTGATGAACCTGACAGAAGTAGGACACTACCTCCCGCGATGTGCCCCACTGGGCACACCAGGCCGCATTCCACACAATCCCAGTTTGGGCCCACCTGGTCACTGAGCACAAATCACTGCTAAGCCAGGGTCCTCGGTTTCATTCTTGTGCAACTGATTTTTTTTTAACCTGGGGGTGGGGGTGAGGGTGGGGGATGAGTCTTTCTCCCATCACCTTTCATCCCCTGCTTCCAGCGGAGTGTTCTAGCTGTAGAGAATGCTGAGTATTGATTCTGTCATTCGGCACATCAGCTCTCCCTAATGACTCTGTGTCATCTGCAAATTTGATAAGCGTGCTTCTGATGTCTTTATCAAGCCACTGCTTCCACCGCTCAGCAAGCCAGGGGGCAGCGGTCCACCAGAGGCCCCCTCCCGGTACGACATGGAACCATTCATGTATCCACACTCTGTGGCAACCGGTGTTCCATCAGTTGTGAGTTCACTTGCCTCCCGGAGCTCTTCCAAACCTCAGAACCAGCAGCAGCAGAACCGTACGTGAGACCCGGTGCGAGAGGGAGGAGCGGGACCTGCTTTGGTTGAAGCGGGAAGGTGCTTCCGCTACCTGCCTTCTGTCCCAAGGCAGTGGCATGGAAGAGCATCAGAAAAGCCCGCATCCGCACGCCAATTGTCTGCTTGTATGTACCAGGTTGACTCGCAAAGCTGAGGCCAGTCCTCGGACAGATGGGCAGAGGGGACCGTGCCTCAGCCCCAAGGCCAGTCTATGCTGCGCAGGGTGCGCAGAGCAGACAGGCAGAGGGTGGAGCAGCACGGATGCCCAGAGAGAAAACAGGGGCTCCCCACTCCTGGGGGAGGTGGCAAGCCCGTCTTGCTTGGAAATGGTCAGGAAATGTGTGCAGAGACGTACGCATGTGAGACGAAGCATCACTGGCCAAGGAAGAAGAGCTCTGCTGAGACACGTCATCCTGTCTTTTGCCGTGAACTTGACCAAACACTGAATCTGAGTCACTGGATACAGCCAAGGGGCTCCCTCACCTCTCCAGCGGCCCAAGCATTCTGAAAGGACAAGCCCAGATCTGGCTTCCCAACTAGCATTCTCTGCAACAACAGGAAGGAAACAGGCAGGAGGCACTTGTTCCTGGGGCCAGCACCTGCCTCTGGAGAGGACTGGGAGGTCCTCAGGTGATGACTCATTAACTCTGGAAAAGTCCACCAAACCAACCATACCTTTTGCCTGACATAAGCTGGGGATAACAGCTCTCCAAAAAACGGCACGGAATTCTTTGAAAGATGAGTAACAACATAAGCAATGGAGGTAGAGCACAGGTTTTTAGCTTTTGAGACAAAAGCCTGAGCTCAAGCAGGCAACAAGGTCTGCTACTGTCCCCTCCCTTGGTCCCTTGTAGTCCCCCCACCCAGGGATTTGCTGAGCAAAGGGCCTGCTGTCCCTGGCTGGGAACCAGCTTGTTAGTCTTCCCGGCCACCTCCAAATCTGGTCAGTAGAGGGCGCTGCATCACCGCACACGCTCTCTCTAGCCCCGCTGTGCCACGGGATCCGCGTCCACACAAAAGACCACACTTGAAGTATTTCTTATGCTTATGCTCTAGTCAGAAAAGGACCCAAGGAGTGCTCAGAGACTCAGGAGTAGTCGGGGTAGGGGGCGGGCCTGCAGCACAGGGTCCCAGGCTGTTGGAGAAGCATTTGCTGCAAAACTGAACACATGTCTGGATCTGGGTGGGGCGCTAGGAGGTAACAGGCACTGGACAGGGTTCCTGCCCTCAAGGAGTTCACAACGTGTCCACAACCCAAGGTGAAGGCATGATGGCTGAGAAGAAGCGTTGGGAGAGGAAAGCCCAGCCCAGATCCAACCCCAGGGTGTTCAGGGAAGGCTTCCTGGGAGAGGAGGTTTTTGAGCCGCCATCTAAGGCACGGGATTTGAGACACACCATCGTATGGCTGTCCACATGAGCAAAGACACTGCAACATGAAAAAGCAAGGGAAGAAGAGACTACCAGTTTAAAGTCTGAAGCTTAGGGGTGAGGAAGAGAAGGAGGTCACGGGAGCTGGATTTGGAAGCCTTCAGCCGACGGGCCCACTGCAGACCGCCACACAGGAAAACAAGCATCACCCACAGCTCACCACCACCAGAGAGAAAGCTATCTGATTCCTCTGCTGGGGAGAGGACAGACCCAAAGCCTCAAGGAAATAAGATGCTCATCGTTTCATAAATCTGCAGTGGAAATTTTGAGTGAAACATCAGCATTTCATTTTTTTTTTTTTTAAGTCAAAGGTACTGGATAGGAAAATACAAAAAGCAAAGACAACAACACCCCCTTTCCTCCATACATTAGGAGGCTCACAGAGATGTGCATGCCACCTAGAAAGGATTGACTAGCAAGAGAGGAAAGCTGGGGACAGAAGGTGGCGTTTAGCCGGAAGCATTAACATAACATTTAATTATCCTTCCGCATACCAGTGGATTTAACCCAGTGACACGGGAATACATTTTATTTATTTATTTTTAAAGATTTTTTATTAGAGAGAGAGAGAGAGAGAGAGACAGAGATAGTGACAGAGAGCACCAGCAGGGAGGAGAGGGAGAAGCAGACTCCCCGCTGGGCAAGAAGCCCAACTCAGGACTCTGAGATCATGACCTGAGACGAAGGCAGACACTTAACCGACTGAGCAACCCAGGTGCCCCAGGAATACACTTTATATGGGCTATTTTGACATCTGTTTCATTTGGCAAGTAAAACAAAACTGATCCAACTTCCTTGTAGCCCTTGTAAACCACGAACTGTACAGCAAGCGTTTTGCATAAAATATATAAACCTTATAAACCTTTTGTTCGGACGCACTACCTTCAGTTCCGCTCGGCTTCCCGTGGCCTGTGTTCTAGGGCCCTCTCGCTTCAGCTGCTAGTGACCGTGCTCTCTTTCGGCCTGGCAAGCTTCTGGAGAGGTTGCGCTTCCTGCTTTAACTGGGAGAAGCAGTTTTCTTGATTCAATAGAAAGTTCCAGCCTGCCCGGAGGTGGGGCCCAAGCTTAGGCCCTTCCAGACCATGTGATGTCAACAGGCAGCAGCTGTAACCACTCCGGGGCTATGGGCCTGAGCCGACCCCGAGCGCAGGTGATGGGCCTGAGCTGACCCTGGACACGGGCAATGGGCCTGAGCTGACCCCCTGCACAGGTGAGTGACCGCAGCTGTGCCGATGCTCTGGGTATTGAGAAAGGACCATGAAAATGCTGACCTGAGCTGTGTTAGTCCTGTACCCCTAAACTGGAGACACGCCACTGTCACCCTGAGACTCTGAACAGCTCACCAGCTCTTGCTGGCTCTTCATGCCAAAGCGAGACTGAAAACTGCTTGTCAAGTTCCAGGCGATTCTGAGGAGTCAAGCTCAAGTATCAGTGGGTTTTCGGAACTATCGAAAGAAAGACCAGACTGTCTTTATGGGGGGGTGTCCCAAAGGACAGAGTTCCCTGAGCTCCTGGGTCATGACAGTGGCGCTCTTCTAAGGGGGGTGGACGCTCAGCTAGGGGAACAGCGCGCAGAGACCAGGTGGCCACACCACCCGCTCCTCAGTACCTCCTCGTGTGTGGTGGGGTTTGTGGGGCCCTGGAGGTGCCCCACAGTCTGCTCCTTACAGACACTGTTCATCTCTGTTCGCCCACGTGAGAGCTTTTAGACACATTCTCGTTTATGCTACATCCCTCCCCAAACAGCAGGGCCTCGCCAATTCTTGTTTTATTTACTTTTGTAATGCCTTTCTCAAATGTAATCCCTCATTGCTGTTCCTTGCCCTCAAATAATTCACTATAGTAAGGCCCAGGTTTTTGTTATTATCATTATTGAACTATAGTGGACACACATGTTATATTAGTTTCAGGTACACAACATAGGAAATTGACAATTCTCGACGTTACGCAGTGCTCACCACGAGAAGTCAGTGCTGAGAGCTAAGTGTTCTTTTTATTTGATAGGATGCTTTTTAACCACCTGCTTTTCACAGAGACCACGACTACCTCTATTACAACTGAAATCAGGTGACCAGTTTGCTCACCTAAGTTTCTTTGTGGAATTATTGAAACCAACACCTCCTGAAAACCTCCTCACTCTTCTCTCATACCCAAACTACCCATTTCTTAGTTTGTAGCTCAGTGGGAAAAGAAATGATATGAACATGAACAAAATGACTTACCAGCCCTCAAAGGAGTTGTTGGCCAAGGCAGAGAAGGAATTCTCTCTTCTTATGGCCAGTGTTCCCAACCACGTGGCTACAAGTCACATGTCTGTGTGTAGCTACGAGCTCTTTAGAAGAGCAAAGCCAACTGAACGTCACATATTCTGCTATCTTAGGAGCAGAATATGTACAAGATAGAATATGGATACAAGATAGCATTCTAACTGGATCTTTAAAAATCTTTAAAAAAAAATCTTCTCTAGCAAGTTTTTAGTTTTTGTTTGCAGTTTTTAGTAGATGCTAAGGGGAAGTGTTCAAAACGTTACATAGTGAGACTCAAGACCACATCACTGTAACACCCCTAACAGCACCAGACACCACCGATGAGGCCTCACCTGGGGAGGTTGGGGGCCGGGGTGGAAGCAGCTGATGACTGGGAAGGCGTTGTGGGTTGAGATGAGTCATGATTCCTCGGTACTTTGCCCATTCGGTACCAGATCCCCATGCTGTTCAGTTCCCTTTGGGAGAAGAGAGAAACTGTCATAGTGTGGTCCAGCACGAAGCATTTACCTGAGCAACAAAAGCAAACCAGCTCAGTTAAAAGAATCACAGCCTCAAATGCCCGGGAGACTGCTCTTGCCCACAAAGATCCATTCTATCACCACTGTTTGTGGTCTGGGTGTTAGAGTTCAGAGCCTAATGTGAAGTCGACTGTCCCAACAAGTCAGGCTCTCATTCTTTACCTGCCCTGGAGCCAGCAGACTTCCTACCACCCTATTGACATTTTCCTTGGTTCTCAGTCTTCAAAATTCTTTTGATTTTGCCACTACATTATGCATAATTCTGTAATAATCCACTTCAAGTCTTTTCTGTGGTTACGGTGAGACAGATGGGGGCAACAATGGGCAAATGGATGCATGTGCTTTTTTTTTTTTTAAGATTTTATTTATTTGAAAGAGAAAGAGAGAGTGCATGAGCAGGAGTAAGGAGCGTAGGAAAGGGACAAGCAGACTCCCCTCTGAGCAGGGAGCCCGATGTGGGCTCCATCTCAGGAGCCCAGGATCATGACCTGAGCTGAAGACAGATCCTTAAGGACTGAGCCACCCAGGTGCCCCCCTGTGCCAGGCTTTTTCCCTATGACGGGAATTAGCGCCACCCTGCTCAAGGACACGTCCCAACTTCTGGATAAACTCCTACGGCCTGGATGTCACCTGCATTTGGCCTCATTCGCAGGGGCAGCTGGTGAGACCTCTTCAAAGCACAAAGCCTGAGGCATGTGCCCCATGAACCATTACAAACAAGAGCGGCCACAAAAGGACTCAACAGATGCCACATCGGGTCTCCTGTTCCCTGATGTGCCACCCCACCTGGTTAGGAGTGTTTATGAGACAGGTTTGGTCTTAGGAACTGGAATGGGATTATTTTAGCCACATCCAACTTAAAACTTCTCAACTGCCCCCATAGAACTGCATTTCGTCAAACGATGAGGGCAGATTTATTCAGTGGAGACGTCTAGTAACTTCTCAGTACATGACAGGAACTATTCTAAACCATGATCACGGCTCATCAGATGGCTGATTCCATCCCACCTCAGCAATGGCCCCGTTGTCCCAGCCTTGGAGGGGCTATTCTCAGCCTGAGGTTTGTCTCCCCCAGCCAACAACTCTGAACTCTTGCAGAGTAATGTATATGCTCATTTTCAAGAAAAAGGTGACTCAGAGTTCTGGACACTGTCCTTTTTCCTTCCTTAAAAATAATACTGGAATTGTCTTCTTCTGAAAAGGAATTTTTTGCCCCGAGAGGATACAAAATCTGCTTTATTTAGCTATCTTTTCAAAATGATATGAGAGAAAGAAGGTTCTAGTTTTGATTATCAAGACTTATGGTAACAATCTATTCTTTAGAATTGTTTAAACTGATTAAAAATTGAGTCTTTTAAAGGACTATAGCTTGTAATTAAAAATACACATAGTGATGAAATTAGACTTTAAAAATTCATTATTAAATTGTTGGTTTCTACTATTTATATGTAAATGGCTGCTTCTAGGTACCTGAAGTACAGTCATTCTCTTAACTGTTTCCTCCTCCTGTAATGCTCTTTATATAATTAGTTTAAACCATGTTGCAAAACAGGACTTCGGAGTGTGGAGGGAGGCGATCACAGAATCCTGAGACGGAGCACTCAGATTCCACAGCCAAATGGTCTAAAGGAACTATCGTGCCCCAGGATGAAAACCATCTGTTCCCGTGACACCTGCTCCCAGGACCTCCACACAAACACCACACCTCTGGGCCATCACCCACGGCAAAAGGCCCATGGAGAAAGGCCCAGTTTGTAGAGTGAAGACCTAGGTTCAAGTGAACAAGAAGCAAAACAGAGCACAACCCAGATCCAGAGGCCACTGTGAAAGCCAAGGAGGGGAGCACACCCATGGGGACAAGTGGGGGGTACCTGCAGAGCTGGCCAGGGAGAGAGGGATGCCAAAAACCATCTAGGGGACTCATTAGTTTGAGAGACCTGAGTTTCAGTTCCAGTTGAGAGACTCAACATCCAGTTAACTGAATGTAATGAGTATCTCTAATCTTCTGGGCATCCAGCATCCACTCACCCCTCTTTTTGACTCTGCCTTCTTCCTTCCATATTTGGGGGGGGCAGTCAACCCCTCAGTCCTAGCCTCTGGGTTCCAATGGAGCCAATCCCATTTCTAGCTCAGTTCTGGTTTCTCAGACAATGCACAGGACTTCAGTGAGATCAATCAAGATCAGTTAGACTGAATTCTAGAACCCGTCTGAATTATCAAGAACACAGACTTGCTCTTGCCTCAGAAACTGAACCTGAAGGAAAAGTAGGCAGAACTCCCACACCACCACTAGTCGGCTCATCAAGGGAGAACATGTAAAAGAATGGGATCCACCCTATGGAATCAGAGCAAGGAGGTAAACAGGGGGAAACCAGATCCTAGTGATGTCCTCTGAGCACCTAGCTCAAGCCACACCTGAAGCCATCCTGCCCCTGAACTCTGCTGTTAGGCCAGCCAACGAATTCTTCCTTTTGCTTGAGCCAGCCTGGGTTGTGTTTCCGGTCACTTACAAGAGTCCAGAGTGAAATCCTGAGATTCCCTGTACTTCGTATTTACAAAACAGCTACAGAGCTGGGCCCGTGCCTAGTACTGGGGCTACCGGGTAAATAAGACACAGTGGGCCTAGCCCTCAGCTGCCCCCTGCTTCTCAGGGAAGATGAACATCAGACTGAAGGGTGCAGAAGAAATTATCACGCAGTCATAGGAGACTCATGTTTCTTCCTGACTCAGACCCTCCAGCGACTCTCCAGTGTGCCTGGGATAAAATCCAAATTGCCTCTGTTGTTGTATGAGGTCCTGCTAACCGCTCACCCCAACGCCCGACTCAGCCTTGCTCACCCACGTCAGCCACACTGCGCTGCTTTCTGCTCCTGAACACGCCACACCTATTCCCATCTTTACACCTTTTCTTCTCATGAGCCTAAAAGGCTCTGCCTTCAGATTTCTGCATGGCTGGCTTCTTCTCGGCATTTGCATCTCTGTCCCATGTCACCACCCCCCACCTCCCAGGCACCTCGCTGAAGCAGGCTCCATTCACTGCTGTGTTTTATTTTTGCCACTAACTGAAATGGTCTCACTCATTTATTTCTTGTTTGTTGCTTGTCTCCCCTCTTAGAATACTGATTCCAAGAGAGCTGGTCTCTGCTGGCTCCTCGACCATCATATCCGGGGTCTTTGGCCCAGGGGTACAAACGGGTGTTCCTCAAACCCTAGTGGGGATAAAGAAGCAATGCAGAGACTGGAGGCCGAGCGGGCAAAAAGGAGAGGACACCTGGACTTTCAGGTATGCAGCAAGGCCCCTGAGGAGCCTGAAGGACGAACACACAGAAGGACAAGGGAAGGAAAGGCCCTTCGCAGGAGCGAGCTTCATGCGCAAAGGCACAGAGAGGTCAAGAGCTCAGTGTCTGGACTGGCGGCAGCATTAGCGGGAAGAGCAGCGATGAGAGCTCAGGCCAGAGAGGCAGGTGGCCCAGAGCCCCGTGGGTCACACAGTCTCATCCAAGGGAGTGACCTGAGCTCTCTCGTCAAGAGAGAAGAGATGACATCCGTGTGACTAAGACTTACCCGATAAATGTGTACTGAGGAGGGGCCTGCTTGGTCCGGCCCATGATCCGAATGTCACAGATAGCGGCTTCAGTTGAATCCCGTGGGATAAATTTAATGCACAGCCTCTTTTTTCTAAAAGCCAATTCCTCTGAAGAAAAGGACAACAAGAAAAGGTGTGAGTTGTCCAGAGATGCCAGCATCTCTATCCTGAATGTCTCCTGTCACGTCCCCTTCCTGGCGGCAGGAGCGACTAGCCAACTGAGTCGCTGGGCTGTGGCCTCCTGCCCTCCACAGGGTGCCCAGGCTGTGACTACAGAGTGGGCACCATTCGCCCCGCTCCTGCATTTGGGACCTGACCCCAGTCCCCCCTGCCGGGAAGGGCTCCCAGGGGCATGCAGAGCCAGAAAAAACCCATGAGGCTGGCTTCCAAAGCCCACACCCACAGTCTGTTCACCGCTCACGCCATCAGGGACAGACACACAGACACCCTGAGTATTAACACTTTATGCCACGTGGACTTTTCTTTTTTACTTTTTATTACAGAGATTTTCACACATTCCCCAAAGTGGGGAGAACAACAGAGTGAATCCACTTGTTCCCCTCATCTAGTTTCAACATTGTGGACAGCAGACAAGCTGCTCGCTGGCAAGTTTTGCTGGAGGATTTAAATGAATCCCCACACCATGTCATGTCACCCACCAATGTCTCAGTAAGCATCCACGGCCGACAGTCTGTTTGAACGTGACCAGTAGGCTGCGATCACACCCAAGTGAATGAACAATGACATCGCCTAGTAGACAGTCTACATTCAAGTTTCCTCCATTGTCTCCAAAATACCATTTAACTATGGCTTTGCCTCGATCAAGATCGAAATGACATCTATGCCCCGGATCTGGCTGGTAGGCCTGTTAGGCCTGTAGTCCTTTTTCCTCTGTAACAAACTCTCTACCCTCCCCTTTCCTTCAGGCCACCGGAACATTGCTGAAATTGGGTCCTTAACCTGTATTTCCTGTGAACTGGCAGTTGGAGCAAAAGACTTGATTAGATGCAGGTTAGATTATTTCTTTTAGGTAGGAAGGCTTCACAGGCGGTGCAGAGATGTCCATAGGCGTCCTGTCATGAGGCACAGCGTCCAGCTCTTTTACCCTGCAGGGGTTCCGGTGGGTTCGGTCTGGTAACGTGGGCTGTGAAGTCCCCAATGACCATTCTTTGGGCAGTGTTTTCATCCCCTGATGACCACTGCCTAGATCCATACTCTAATTAAAATTTTCAAAATGGTGATTTTTAAAAATTTTTTAATTTTTTAAATTTCTTTTTAGTGTTCCAGAATTGTTTATGCACCACACCCAGTGCTCCATGCAATACGTGCCCTCCATAATACCCACCACCAGGCTCACCCAACCCCCCCCCCCCCCCCCCCCAAATCCTCAGATTGTTTTTCAGAGTCCATAGTCTCTCATGGTTCATCTCCCCCTCCAATTTCCCTCAACTCCCTTCTCCTCTCCATCTCCCCATGTCCTCCGTGTTATTCCTTATGCTCCACAAATAAGCAAAACCATATGATAATTGATGCTCTCTGCTTGACTTATTTCACTCAGCATTATCTCTTCCAGTCCCGTCCATGTTGATACAAAAGTTGGGTATTCATCCTTTCTGATGTAGGCATAATACTCCATAGCATATATGGACCACATCTTCTTTATCCATTCGTCCATTGAAGGGCATCTTGGTTCTTTCCACAGTTTGGCGACTATGGCCATTGCTGCTATGAACATTGAGGTACAGATGGCCCTTTTTTCACTATATCTGAATCCTTGGGGTAAATACCCAGTAGTGCAATTGCAGGGTCATAAGGAAGCTCTATTTTTAATTTCTTAAGGAACCTCCACACTGTTTTCCAAAGTGGCTGCACCAACTTGCATTCCCACCAACAGTGTAAGAGGGTTTCCCTTTCTCCACATCCTCTCCAACACACGATATTCTAATTCTGTGATTTCTTCTGGAATTTATTAGCTGGAATTCTTCTATGTAAACAGTAACTTTTCTTCTCCAACTACTTGGTCTCCCTGATAAAGCTTCGGTACCAGAAAGGAAAGATAGATACGTGATTCTTTGCTTTTACTTAGTAAGTCTTAAAGCAATGAGCTGGTGATTTAGCGAACTCCAATGCTGACCAACCAGGTGTTTTGTTGTTGTTGTTGTTCATTTGTGGTTTTTAAATATGAATTCCAATCAATTCCAATCCACTGGATGCATGAGTCAGGTGTACCTGGGTTGAAGTCCCAACTCTGCCAACAGTTCTACGATCTTAGGCAAGTGACTTAATTTCTCTGAGCCTAGGTTTCATTGTCTGTAAAAGGGACTTACTAAAACCCTACCCCAAAGGGACATCAGGTGGATGAAATGTGATAACACATCATATGCTTCTCCTAGCCCAGCGCCTGGCACATAGTAAGTGCTCAATAGGGCATAGCCATGAATGCTCTTATCATCATAATTACCAGTAAGCCTCCAGTGCACAATTTATGTCAGCGTTTGGCATTGACTTTCAAGACCTTTCACTTCCGGGGCAGGAAGTAAGCACACTCAAATCAGACCCCGAGCGGGGAGGGAAGCACAGTCACGCCACTGGTCTTGGCTTGACCAAAGGGAGATTACCGTCAGTGGTGGTGTCTTATCGCTGACTGAGGGGAGGGTGTTTTTTAAAGAGCCAGGTAGAATCTCAGAAACTTGGTGGGTTCTATTCCCAGGCAAGGAAACTGAGGGCTAGATCAGATCTATGAGCTATGACTAATAATGTCCTGAATGCAGACCCCAGACATTGTACCCTATGAGACAGGGACGGTATCCTGGGGGAAAACATCCATACCAACAGTGCACCTTCAAAAATATGAGCTGGTAAGATCAGACTTGGGAAAGTGTAAAGAAGGTAGACCTTCCCTCATAGAAATGGAAACAGGTCTCTTACTTGCTTTTGCCATGCTGCTCTTTGCTCTTTTCCTCCGTCTACAGCAACTCGGGGTAGAAGGAGCCACTAATTACACATGCTTAAACAGGCCTAATTTTAAGTAAACATATTATATAGAGTCAATAGAAATGTGTTCAGTCATGCTAATGAACACACAGAAAGGATACAACACTTTACTAAAACAAACAGTCTTCCAGTGTTTAAGTACTGTGTGGATAGCAACAAACTATTTTAAATTCATTATAAGAGTCTCATCTTCTTGGCTGACTTTATAAAATCGGGGCCTTAAAGCACGGAGGCTGCACAGAGCTGACCACGGGTTCATCCGGTCAGCCTGGCTTACCCTCCCCACTGGGGACGGGCTCCAGGAAATGACCATACAACCCGAAATGAACGGGCGGCCCTAAACCCACCCTCCTTGTGTGATAAGATGCTTATGGGTGATGCCAGGACCTGCCCTCAGAATGTCCACAGGGAACAACGATCATGGGGAAGAGCCTTCCCACCCAGGATCACTGGGGTCCCAACACAACTAGACCACAGGCCCGGGCAGGAGGCCTTGGGCCTCCTCCCTTAACTGGTTCAACAAATTAAGAGGAAAATGCAGAATGGGGAATCCCCTGTGGCTCTAGAGTCTATCAATATGAAGACATTATAAGTCAATTAGTTGTCAAAAATGAACACCAATGCAAATTTTGAAACTAAGAAAAGCACGAGGGAGAAGTGAGAAATTAATACAAGTCTACGAGTCAATTTTGGTTCCCAGGCAGACAAGTCATAAAAGAGTAAGCAAAGGCAGCAAGCAAACACTTGCGAAAATGTTCAGTCTTGCTAATAAATGATGACATGAAAATTAAATAAAATTAGAATAGTAAAACTGAATAAAAATTTAAAACCTAAGCTGGCAGGCCTGTGGAAAACAGGCACAAGCCTGTATCATTAGTGGCATCGTGAACTGGTATTTCTGGAAGTTAATTTGGCAAGAGAGAATAATAAAGCTTATCTTTATGGAGCCCATCCTCTGAGCAAGGCACCGTGTGTGCTGGTGTCTCCGGTGATTCACAAATGAATTAAACACAGATCTTGTCCTCAAAGAGAAAGGTAAGTAGTGAGGATGTCCAGAAAACACGGAAGTGGCTAAAACGCAAGCTGAAAGCAACATTGGGAGGTAGATACCAATCCCCCCATTTAACAGATAGGGAAACTGAGGCCCCGGAAGGTGAAGTCATTCACTTGGGGAACTAAAGCTGTGAGTGGCAAAGCCAGACTCAATCTTAGGTGAGTCTGACTGAGGAGTCCAAGTGCTTCTCCCCTGCCCCCCTCCAGGCCAAGCTGCAATGTATCGCGTCAGAGTTGGGGTGGGAAGTGAGAGACAGAATCTATTACTTCCTTTGGCTTTTGGCCACTGTGACCTGTGGTGCTTCCCTCCCTCCCTCCTTCCCCTGAATGTGTGCTGTGCCGGGTGTGAGGGAAAGCAGCAAAGAAGGCAGATAGTCCCTGATCTCTGACTGATGAGAGAGAGCTCTGATTATGTTGTGAGGCAACTCCTTGTTTGCAGGACTGAGTCACCCACCAGACTAAGCCCCTGGAGGGAAAGGCTGGCATCTCAGTCAGTCGCCTTCTCTCGCAAAGCCTGAGGTGCCTGCACGAGGCATTCATCAATCCCCACTGACTGTTAAAGAGAGAGAGGGCTTGCTGGAAACTGGTAGTTGGGGGTCAGAGACAGTTTCATGCAGAGGGCAGAATTAAAGCTCACCCTTGAAAGATATGAAGTGTGGACACTCAGAGTTGAGGGAAAGGGCTTTTCAGACAGGGGAAAAAACAACAAAGCAAATAAGTAGGTCAGGAAAGAAACAAGGGTGAAGAGTGCACAGTGAGTGCCTCAGTTTGGGTAAAGAAGGGGGTACTTGAAAAGATGAGGAAGACATTTGTAGAGGAAGGCTGGAGCCGACTGTAGAGGACCTAAGACCCAGCAGCCTCCAGTACTTAGAAACTCGTCACAAGAAAATCCTTCAAGATCGATACACACCTAAACTGGTTAATAGATTCGACACCAAATCCTATCTAAATCCCAGCTAGCTGCTTTGCTGAAATGGACTAAGCCTAAGGTTCAGATGGAAATTCAACGGACCCAGACTAGCCAAAATAATCTTGAAAAAGAAGAATGAGGGTGGAAGACTCATACTTCCTGGTGTCAAAACTTGCCACAAAGCTAGTCATCAAGACTGTGTGCTACTGGCATGAGGAAAGACACGCAGATCAATGGAAGAGAAATCAGAGTCCAGAAACAAACTCACATCTATGGTCAGCTGGTTTCCAACAAGGATGCCAAGACAATTCCATGGGGGAGAGAATAGTCTTTTTAACACATGGCGCTGGAACAACATGACTGTCACATGCGAAAGAAGAAAGGTGGATCCCTACCTCACACCACATGCAGAAGTGAACTCAAAGTGGAGCAAAGATGTAAGTGTAAGAACGAACTCTATAAAGCCCTCAGGAAATAAAACCATGGGCATAAGTCTTGGTGACCTTGAATTAAGCAATGCTTTCTTAGGTATGACACCAAAACCACATGCAACAAAGGAAAAGCGTAAATGAGCGGATCTCCATCAAAATAAAAAGCTTGCGTATTTCGAAGGACATCAAATGACAAGAAAACCCATGGAAAGGAAGAAAATTTTGCGAACCATATAATTGAGAAAGGGCTTATATCTAGAATATGTTCCAATATTTATAACTCAATAATAAAAAAGACAACCCAATTTAAAATGCCAGAGGATCAGAATAGACATTTCTCTGCAGAAGATATACAAACGGCCAGCAAGCACACAAAACTCTGCTCAACACCACTAACCATCAGGAAATGCAAGTCAAAACCACGAGGGACCACTTCATGCCCAGTAAGACAGACAGAACAGTAAAATGTGTCAGCGGAGATGCGACTCACTGGCGCCCTCACACACTGTGGTGGGTATGTAAAATGGTGTGGCTCCTTTGGAAAATGGTCTGGCAGCTCCTCTAGAAGGTAAATAGTTACCATAAGACTCTGGCAGTTCCACTCCTAGGTCTGGCCCCACGAGCAATGAAAACACATGTCCCCACAAAAGCCTGAAGGTGAACGTTCACAGCAGCACTAGTCACAACAGCCCAAAGTGGAGGCAACCCGAATGTCCTCCAGCTGAGTGGACAAGCAAGACGCAGGAGTCCGTACAACAGACTCTGACTTGGCAATAGCAAGGCATGAAGTACTGACCCACACCACAGCAGGGACCTGCCTTGAAAACATTATGCCTTGTGAAAGAAGCCCATCACGAGAGACCACATGCTGTAGGATTCCATTTGCATGGAATGTCCAGAATAGGCAAGTCTGTAGGGAAAGGAGTTCAGTGGTTGTCCAGGGCTGGGAAGGGGTAGATAGGGGAGTGTTAGAGAGAAATGGGGAGTGATGGCCAATGGGTGTAGGGTTCTTGAGGGGTGGGTGTGTGATGAAATGTTCTAAAATATCAATTGTGGTAATAGTCACACAACTCTGTGAATACCTTAAAAACCACTGAATTGTATACCTTGAATGGGTAAATTAATGGTATGTGAATTATATCTCAATAGAACTGTTACCAACCACACCTGATGCATAAATACATCAAATCTAACTGTAAAAGGCACTTAAACACATGCCGTGACAGGGCTGTGTGGTGGTTAATGCTAGGGCTAGAGTTAGACTCCCGTGTGTCCTCTCGTGACGCCCCCGCTTCCAGATGCGTGACCGTGGATAAATTCTTCAAATCCTCAGCAGTTACTGTGTCCCACTTTCTTCACATGGGATGGATATAACAACACCCATCTCCAAACGGGAGTCCCCTGGAGAGCCAGTGACATCAGGTACGTAAAGCATTTACCACAGGCTTAGCGTCTGGTACGTCACCTACCATGTATCAGCTAGCACGAGTAGTAGCTAATACATAGGATAACAAGTAAAAGCACAATGTCCAAAAGTGAGAGGACTATGAAGAAAATAAAAACATGCAATACAACGGACTCAGCTTGTCTCGTGAAAATAACGGCTGTGCGGCTTCTGTGTAGTTACACCCAGTCTGGTCTGTATGAAATGCTAGAGAGAAAACAGCGGATTATGGGTCCAAAATGGGGCTAACCATGGAAACACAAGGGATGCGTGACAGAGAATGAGATACAGGATTTCATAACTGAATCATGTGTAATAAAGGAAGGATTCCTTGTCTTTGTTTTTCACATACTGCTTCACTGCTGGTGCCATCCTAAAACTGGTGACGGTAATTAAAAATAAAACAAGTTGAGTTAAATCAGAATGAGGAGGCTCAAATATCCAGAGGTTTTCCGGCATGATTTCAGAGCCAACAGGCATGACAAGATCCCTCCAGGATCCTGAAGAAGCTTTGGCTGGTCAGTGATTTTGCTTCTGCTCGCCATGGTTCAGGGTCAGAGCACTCACTCAAATTCGAGCCTGTGTCCTCTAAGGCGCAGTCTTCCTGGTTCTGGCTTTTCTTGTGTGCTCCATGAGCCAAAAATAAGGACATTATTGCACTTATATTCCTTGGACGTCTTTGATTTTTTTTTTTTTCCTTTTGTTTGTGGGTCTTGTGCTAAGCTTGGCTTCCGCAACACCAGAGGATGGACCGAGTGGGGATGGCAACCAGTCTCACCGGTCCGTTCCTGAGTGAGCCGAGTCAGCAGGGAGCCCGTTCTAAGAGAAAAGGACATTCTGCTCCTTTACATGCTCCTTCCCAGAGCGCCGCAAACTCCTCAGAGAACCAAGTCAGGCACACCGCACGAGCAGGAGGGTTTAGTCACGGGCGTGCAGCAAGGCCCCCTAAAATGTTCCTGAAGAAAAATGCACATACAAACCACCTAAAAATACCCCTGGAGGAAGAAAAGTCCCATTGTGCCGAGTGGTACCAAAGGGAGACTCACGTGTGTCCATCGTCTCCTGAATTGGGATGAAGCCTACGGGCAGAGTGTCCTTGATGTCAATGAGCTTCATATCCACTAACACGTTCCCTAAATGACTCTTGGGAAGAAAGAAAAGAGATACAGACTATTAATCTGAACAGCCCTGTGGTGGGTTTGCCATTTTGGCTTCGAGATGCATATTTAACACAATGACTCATGCAGCTTTACGACAGCAGGTTAATTAGAGTAGGTGCCACTTAATGTTCCCCAGTGGCTACGCGGTGACTCAGGGGCCCCCGGGAAGGAGCTTCATCTGCCGCACCTCCGTGCCACTCACTCAGACACGGCTCTGGTTAGCTAGACGGCGACCTGGGAGACGCTCGAGACAGAACCCAACAGAGGGCAGCTGCGCGTGCGTCCTGGGACCAGGCTGCCACTCGGCCTGCGGCATGGGCTGCACATTCCCGGGGCAGTCGCTGCGGCCAGAGAGAGCGCGCAAAGCCTCCCAGAGAACCAGTCATGCTCCTAGGTGATTGCCCATCTGTGTACTGACACACCTTTCAGTTGCTAGATACGATTCTGTAAAATCCTAGGAACTGTCAACTCATACAGACTGGAAAGCTCTGCTGCCTCCATATCACACATCTACTAAAATGACATGCACAAGGGCCTCTTACAGTCTCTACTTAGTGGTAGCATAGGGGGTCCACAGCGCACGCGTTCTGTAACCAGTGCAAAAATATCTTTTGTAGACAGCACGCACCATCATGTAATTGCACAACAGCAACCTCTGCAAACACACCGGCATTTGCAGCCCACGGTTCTGGTTGAAATGCTCTGTGCCAACACTAGCCTGGATGGCTGATCAGGGACTTCTGACCCTCTGAACTCTGCGCTATTGTCTCTCTTGGCTGCTCTCTCTTTTCTTCCCTACCGATTGGTAATGGCCCATGTGTGAGGTTCTTTCTTCACTATCTGTCTCCCCATGACAATTCAAGGGCCACAAGGACCAAAACTGTCTGTTGCTACTCGACCCCCAAGCTTAGCACACTTCTCGGCATACATGCTCAATTATTACCTACCTCAATTATTACCTATTAAAATATACCTACTGAATAGTGTAACATTTGGGGGTACATTTTCAACTGGGTGGGCCAGAACTGGAAATCAAATTGGATTTGCTTAGACGACAAACCTCAACTATAACAATAAAAATGGAAGTATTCTTCATAAATACATTATAAACCCGAAAGCGCACAAATGAAATAAATTCTTCAAACTTCACTACAAAGGTCACTGTGTCAAATGTCAACTGTGACCGGGCTTTTATGGCCCTGTTGTCACAAACCCATTTCCTTCTCTCATATCTCTCGCGTTTGATGACTATTTTCTATTATTGCATTTCAGGTAGCTTGGTCTCAGGGAAACAATGCACACGGCTCAGCGCTGCACGTGGAAAGCGGAACCTTAACTAATGCAGAATAAATCTCTGACCGTGTAGAAGAGGTTTGAACCGTTAACCTAACTTGAAAACATCAGCTGCTTTCAGAATTGCCAGATCTAATCTATCATAATTTTTTTCTTTCCTGGCAGTTGCTTTTCCGTGTCATCGCTGCTTTCTGCATTGAGAAATTAACAACTGGGTATGTTTTTCTGCCCCGTAGATGGATAGGCATTCATCAATATCCTTCTCAAATGTCTTCTACTTGACAAGTTGGGTTTTACACAAGTCAACTGCAAACCACTTAGCGACCTCACCTTCCACACTCTACAAATGTCCCTGATCATAAAACCAGAACATCAGTGGTGTGGCCATTAAAAAAAAAAAAAAAAAAAAGGCATCGAGAACCCTCCCACGCATACAAAACGGGACGCTGCACTGTCCAAGATTCCCGCAGCCCAAGTGCAGTCCCTCTGCACACGGGGCTGCTGCTCTACTGGGTTTAATACGGTGGGTCTGCGACATCATTAATTTTGCTTGTTCCTCTCCCCTCCCCCATCCCGTGCTCTCTTTCATTTCCTCCTCATAAATATGAAGAACGTATTCCCAATCCTTGTTGAGCAAATGATTCATGCCAAAAGCCCAATATGCACTGACTCAGGGTATTTATACTGTCTCTGGTAGCCAGTATTTGCTAGTATACTGTAATTATTTCTGACAACCTTGCATTTAAGGTAGCCACAGATAACCAACTTAATATTCAAATGTTCATAAATCCTTCTGTTTAATATCCTCCCTACTTAATCTATGTACATTATTATTACAGGTAATGCAGAAAGTACAGGGCATGAAAAGTGCAATTAATCTCGATCCTTCCCCAGGAAACAATGTCACTCCAAAGCCAGGTTTCTGTATTAATAGCATTACTGGGGGAAAGGAATTTAGGTTCCAAAGGAGTGTCCCCAAACTCCTACACTGGGAGTCTCGAGCTGCCTAATTAAGAATCTGTCCAGTCTTGAGATCCCACATCCCTCCTCTACAGTTGTAAAAATATACGCTATGCAAAGTCCTGGTTGTGACAGCAGGGCCGGGACAGACCGGCTGTAGTAGATTAAAATATGCCCGTTCCTACCGTGCTCCTGGGCTGGCAAGTGGGTCCCTGCCACCCCCCTGAATGGATCCCTCTGGGTCTCACTAAAGGACTCAGTCGTTCTTCTTCTGAAAACAGAATGCACCGACTTTCCGTCCTCCTTCAGAGGGGAGGCAGAGACCTCCCCCACTGCCCTCATCCTCCTCCCCCAGCCCTTCCCCGCACCTGCCCCACCCGCTTGGGGTAAGGCTTACAAATGAGCATTCAACATCATCTCTTTCTGTTCAACAAATGCCGATGAACTCGATACATTTTCTACAATATGTTTATGCAGGACCCCCCGAATTAGCAAGTACTGGTGACTTCTGTCATTTTTAGACTTGTCACTGTCCCCAACTCCAAGGGATCAGGACTCTCTTGGCCTAGACTACCAATACCCCACAGCTTTCAGGGGAAGTGCAAAACAAATCTCCCAAACATAAAACAAAACAAAAAACCCAAAAAAAGCCAGAAATCAAAAACAATCAAAGGGATCGTGGCTGTCCTGTGAGGCCACAGCCGGGAACTGCAGCTTCAGGCAGGAGAGGTGGGCCTGAGCAGAGATCAGTAACGAATGCCAATGCCGTGAGACCACTGGGCACATGAGTTGTTCAAATCCTCGGGACTTCGTCCTGGCTTCCCTGAGCGGCAGTGAAGGCACTGACCTGTGCAGCGGGCAGCCAGCACACAGAACAGAGGTGACGAAAGCTAAAAATATCAACAGTTTCAAAAACAGGTTTGGGTCAACTCCAGGGACAAAGGGGCATGAGAGTGCCCTGCGTGTGGGTATGGATGCAGGGGCGGAGGAATGGAGCAATGAGGGGGGCGGGGCGGGAACTACCCCTAACTCCTCAAGCCCCCAGCTGGAAAGGCAACCCGGCTTCCAGACTGTTCCTCAGCGTCTCCTCGGGCTGCACGATGAGCCCCAGGGACCTGCTCAGGCTCATTACAGGCTCAGCAGCCACCTTCTCGCCTATATGAGAAGGATTTCTAGTGTTTAGTGCGAGGACTGTCCCTGCCCCATTAGAAACTCTGTACTTTACAGCAAGCATATATTACTCTCATAATTAGGGGGGAAAATTAAAGCAATGACTTCTCCCCCAGTCCTGAATACATTAGGAATAATTTTCCTAACAAAGACTTATCAGTAAACAACAGGAACGGCTGGTGGAAGAGAGTGCAAGCCAGAGGACCACGTGGCTGTCTGTGTCCAGACAACACCGACGGGCCACAAAAGGGCCCTGGGATAGGACCATGGGCTGTGTCATATGTGATGGGGACGAAAACTTACTGTTTCCCTTTCACACATCTGAATGAGGATGTCTGAAAATTTTTTTTCTTTTTAAACCATGAGGATATATCACTGGCATAATAAAATTTGTAAAAATAAATTAACAAAAACATTCTTCCAGCCATTTTTTTTTTTTTTTTTTTTTTGCATTAGAAAGAGCCAATAACATTTAGGCCCAAAATAATATGTCACCCCTGAAAATGAAAAGCTGACTGCTCCGTGTTTGGGGCTAGGGAAGACAAGTGACCTTGGACAAGCACAAAAACTCTCTGATCTCAGGAAAAGAGCTAATACTTCCAAGAGATTGTCTGAGGATGGGAGAGGCTTATTCACAGAGTGCCTAGGTCAGGCCTCCTTCCCAGTCGATCTGTGCAAATCCTCATGAAAGCTACTTCCCTTTTTTCCTAAGCCGCTTGTGAAAACATTCTGTTGGAAAAGTCTTAATAGATAGCTTTAGAATGTCCTAATTTATGGGCCCAAGAGTTCAGAACGGCCTACTGAAAGAAACCTGCACACGTGCAGATACCTACCTGTGGAAACAATGAAATGTCAAACGTCACAGAGACTCAGGGAGAAAGTCAGTCATTTTGGAAACAAGGCCGTGTCTGGGGAAGGAAGGGATCATGGAGCATCCTTCCAGCTCTGCTTCTGCGTGCTGGCCAGCTTTAAATCCAGCCACGCCGGCAAATGCTCACGTCCACACCACCCTGTGATTTGTGACTTACAGGAAGGCTAGGCAAATGAGGGCCGGGGGAGAAATTTCCTGGTTCCCTTTTGAGAACACATTTTAATGGAATTCACTGTACACTGGAGTACGAGGTTAATAATACTGTTAATAAATGAAACACAGTGCGAGCTGCTGATTCTACCCAGTTCGCTAAAACCACAGATTAATATGGCAAGGAAAATAAACCACAACAACAACAACAAAAAAAAAAAAAAAAAGGAAAGAAAGAAAAAGAAAAAGAAAGAGGAAATTTCAACCAGGCAAGTAAACACCTTGTGTTCACGCAGCAAATGGACACCACTGCTAGACTTACATTTTCTTTGGAAAATGATCTTGTGAAACACAGGTATCTGGTAACCTTGGATTTAAATAAGCCGTCTTTCCAGAGGTCAGCATCCACACCATCTGCTGTCTGTGCGACCTGCACCGGAGAGACAGAAGAAGAGCGCAGGTAAGGCAGGCTGGGACCGAAGGTGGACGCGGGAAGCTTCTCCGTACCTGCGCCAATTAACACTGGGCCGAACTCTCCTGGCATCTCATTAGTTCATTTCGCCAGACCCCGGGAAGAGACTTTCCGAAAGGGGAAAAGGGAGAGTGTGAAAAATACAACTTCTAAAAATATTGTCCCCAGGGAAGCCGTTGATTAAAGACACCCTGACAAAAACGGTTCTAATGAGAAAAGAGCAACTTTTGTTGCAATGGACCAAGGAGGGATTGGAGAAGTCAGCACATTAAGTTGCTCATTACCACTTACTCGGGGGACGGGAGAGGGGGCAGTAAAAGGTCCAAAGGGGTGTGAAATGCCACCTGAGAGGGGCGCCGCCTGCAGGGAGCTGCCTGCTCCAGGACCCTGGGGCCAGCCGGGGTGCTTGTTCCGTGGGACCCTGGTGGGGACCCGGGGCAGGGTACCAGGGAAACTCGCTCCTCGCTGTGTCTTCTCCCTACAAGCTCTGTGAGGGGTACTCAAGGTCGGAAACTGTCTCATGATAGAAAAATAAAAAAGATTCAGCTCCTTGTTTATAGTCTCACTAAGAAACCATTTTCCTGTGTGCGGCTAGAGAAGTGTTCCTCTCAGGAGCACCCAAGCATGAAGCCAGCCTTGATTTGAGTCTTAAAGGACCTGTGTACTGGGCTGGGGGCGGGGTCCTCGCACGAAGGCCCCTGCTTTGGGGCTAAGAGTGGGCAAGGAGACCGGAGAGCAGGGGAGAAATAGCTGGACGAGGGCAGCAGTGCCCCCATCTCCTTCCAGACAGCTCTCTTCCCGGCCTGTCAGGCACACTCTTCTTTCTCACACAGCAGCCCAACAGGATGGCACTACCAGCCCAGGGTCTGTCGCTGGCACCCCCAGGGGGCACAGCCAGGAAGATGGAGGGAGCAGCACCCGTTTCTGCTCTCTGCCGTCTCCCCGGTTGTCCTGTTGAGGTTTAGAATTTGGGATACAATCCTTGATCTGACAAACTGCTGAAAGCACCTCCATGCTTTGCACGGAAACTGCCTCCATTGAGCCCCAGCCCATATACACGCGCCACAGCACGCCAGTGGGCTCGGGCTGTCACGTGTGCAGGAGGATGGGGGTGTGCTGGGCTGCGACGCTGCCTGGACATCCCCGGGGCCCCCATAGCCATGTTCTCTGAGGCTGCCTCAGAGAGGCCCAAAGGCCAACTGGCAAAAGAAAAATGCTTTTTTCCCCCCCACTCCAAACCGAACAATTGTAAATTAGCAAATGCAGCACTAGAAGAAGAAAGGTCCTTATGCTACATTTGCAAATATGTTTGACCTGAAACCTGGAGGAGGAATGGTATGGGGATAATCTCGGGGACCACTGGCTCCAAGTATGTCACCCCCACGGAAAGACATGACACAGAATGGCATCAGGCCTCATCAGCACTTTCCCCCACAAATGTCCTCCATCGAGTTTCTTGGAAAACATGAGATTTCAGGCAGTGGCACTAACTCTGCCACCAAGGATCCTCTTTGTCGATTTTCTCCCGTGGATTCCAAGTTTTGAAAGACTTTTTTGTCTCCCCAGGTGTCCTTTTCCTGTACTTCCTCAATTTTAGGCTGCAGTCATTTGGGAATCATCCATGGATTTTAAGAATAACGCTTCAGGAAAAAAGAACAGAAGGTCAAAAGGTACAGATCTATTTCAAGATGCATTCCAATTTCAGAGCCATTAAGATGTGAAAATAAAAGATACTACAGGAATAAAGAAATAAGGGAACTTATATGGTTTCTCTAATAATAAATATTTTATTTTTGATAAATTAAAAAAAAGAGTCTGCAGAACACTGGAAGGCTGTGGAATCCCACGCTGGGACCTCAGAAGACAGAGCTGTCTGTCTTTAACCTCCCACCAGAAAAGGAATGGAGTTCAGAAGGGCTCTCTGGGATATCTGGGAATTCCACTGGGGGGGTAGGTGTGCCCTAGGTCAAGACTATTGTTTCCAGGGCTTGAGAATGGTGGTTCCCTCCGCTTTCCCCACTGCCTGAATTTTCTTTTTTCTGGGTGAGAAGACACCTCACTGTGATAAAGAGGCCAGGGCAAGCATGTAAAGAGAAAAAGCTCGCAGCGGGCCTGCCCCTTCCTCAGAGGCCCAGGCAGTGGCAGTCCTCCAGCTCGCACTGGCGGAGCATTAAAAATGGACCACCAAGGGCCTGGCTTTGCCCTGAGGCCACAACTCATTTGCAATGAAGTAGAAATGTATAACCCCCTCCAAGCTCACCTCCGAGGGGAGGTGAGGAGGGTGGTGAGAAAGAGCCTGAGCAAGCACAACCTCGTGCCCACACGTGCGCACGCGTGTGTGTGCGTGTGTGTGTGTGTAGAACGCAGAGCTTCCCAAAGCCTGGACCCACACAAGGGATGGACTGGAGCAAGGAGTGAGAAGGCCCGGGGTCCCAGATCAACAGGAGCACTAGAGAAGTGGGCCTGGTGTAACAAAGCCGGGCATTCCCAGCCTTGCCTTCCCCAGAACACCCAGAAACTTCTTTCCCACCCAGTCACAGAAAGGTGATTACTAATCTTAATTCTTCCCATCCCAAATTAGATGAGCTAATGATCTCCAAGTTAAGCTGTGTATGAGGCAGGTGCCTGCATGGGCCTCCATGCAGAAATTCATATCTCCACTCTAACCATGAGACCCCAGAGGCCAGCCTCTGAATCCGGGATAGGAGAGGCCGTGGGGAGGTGGGCCGAGGGCTGCAGGAAGTGGTATTCTAAGTGTAGCACAGCCCATAAAATTAAGAGGTAGACTTGAACTTGACACCTGGTGGCTGAAGAAAGCCCCTCCTCCTGGGGGCACTTTGGTTAGGGATGATGTACGCACAAAACATCTACCTTAGTGGACTCCAGGGAGCACCCACAAAGCCCGGATCACGTGTCTGAACTAGAAATGAAGACATCTATTCAAACCAAACCTTCAAAATGATGTCATGCTACATCAAGATTCAAAAAGTCCTAAACTGTCACACTGGGGTTCAGCTGGTCCTCTGGGAGTCCTTCTCCAACTCTGGAATATTATCTGGTTTTCAAACACAAATTATATGCATGTGCAATGAATGTTTACCTGCCCCCTGCTATCCTGCCCCTGGACTAGAAGCTTCACAAGGAAAATTCCTTATCTTTTCCCTTCAGTAAGCACAGTGCCTGATACATATGGGCTCGATCAAAACTTGTTGAAGGAATGAAAGATTCGGCCATTAAATCAGGAGCAAACTGTGAAAAGCTATACACCTTGATAGCGCCCCAAGTAAGGTAATCTAAAAAAATTTTTTTAAGATTTTATTTTTTTATTTATTTGAGAGAGAGGGGCGGGGAGGGAAGGAGCAGAAACTGAGGGACAAGCAGATGCCACACTGAGCACAGAGACCAACACGGGGCTTGATCTGACGACCCTGAGATCATGACCTGAGCCAAAATCAAGAGTCAGATGCTTAACTGACTGAGCCATCCAGGCATCCTGGTAATCGAACATTTTAAAAGGAAGTTTCCAGAATCTAATCTCTTGAGCTGAGTGTATCCCCTTCAGAATCCCCGCTCTGTGAGGCCACACACCCATTTCGACAAGGAGGTCCCTTAGTCTTCTGGTCATCTTGCTGGTACCCTGCCCTGCTCCCCAAATCACTGGAGCGTGTCCAGTGCTGCCACGGTGCCTCCAGAGGATCTGTTACGGGGCTTCACATGCACACATGCGCACACAAGCACACACCCCACAGCTTCAAACACACTCTTATTACACACTCACACGCGCACACACTCATGCTTCTCTCTTACATGCACTCACTCTCGCATGCCCACCGTCTTCCCAGCATCTCCCTGGGGCCTCGAGCTGCTTCTGGGGAGGAGTAGGTGGGCAGTGACAGACTGAACGCATGGATTTGTCTCCCTTCTCTGCCAATATGTGTCTCAAATGACAGTCGTGTGCGGAAGGTATGAGCCCCCAAAATAAAGAGCAAGAGAAGAGTGTGATGCCAGAGAGATGCCAACAACTGCCTGGAGACGTGGATGGTGAAAGGCTGGGCTTTAGCGAGTGGAGGGGGTGACATCTCAGGCCCGGGAGGAGCTAATGATCTGCCCCCCAACCCCTGGGCCCCAGAGCCACCAGATTCCATCGGGGTGAGGGTGGGGGTCGTGGGGGATAGGTGTGTGTGTGTGAGTTTCCAGCTGGAACAGGAAGATCTGAACAAGGTCTAGAAACACAGCAGTTACACTCCCAGATCCCCACCCCCCACTTCAGGTGCGTTTTCTCCAGAAATGGAACCAGTAAGGCTCAGGGCTCCAGAACTCCAGGAAGAAGAAGATTCCAGACTGAAAACAGGGGGGTAACCACGCACACTGAATGGTGGGCCCTCCCCCTCCCCTACCCCCACCTGCTACCACCAGGCTTATCCTCCTTCCTGCTGCCGGCACCTCAGCAGCCAGGGGTATCCCCTAAACGCTGGATATGGAAGGATTTGTCTCTGGAGTCACTAAAGACTACCAGAGAGCGGATCAGCACACCCAGGCTCCAAGGTCTCCTGCTACAAAAGCTGCTTCCCAGCTCCCTCACCCTGGGAGCCGCCCACCAGCCCACAGCCTCCAGCCCCACTCCCGGCCCTCCAACCACACCGACTAGTGTCTCCCTCTTAAATATAAATGGACAACAAAGGATCACCAGGTGCTGGGGTAAGTCTCCAATATGAAAGACAGGGTCCACACCAGAACGGGCACTTGAAGGTAGCACAGATAGCATGAGGAAACAGTTAAAGTTAAGGGACAAACGACCAAGCCCATAATGCATGTAACTGCAGCCACCAAACAAGAACGGAATATTGTGAAAAAATTCAAAGGATCAATTTAAGAATAATATAAAGAGCCTAGAAGTAAAAATGTTATAGATAAAATGAAAATTTTTTAAAAATACTGGAGGGGAACATTGAGGAACT